AGCTTTAATTTACTAAAGCTACGTTCCCCAGCAGCAACTGTTACAGGAATTGTCAGTAAGATCCTCAATGCTATCCATACATTCGGTAGAGTGTTTTCCAGACCATTTTTACGAATGAAATTTAATGTTTCCAGTGGGGTATTCACGTCTCTGGGAAATAGGGAACTTATCGACTGTAGTTCCATACATAACTCCTTACTATTGATATCTTGATCTGTACCATCGCTTAACTGTGTTTCCAAATCTTGACACAGCTTCTTCAACTCATCGACTGTCGGCAAATCTTTTAATTTAAATAAAAATCCCCAAGTTTCTTGGAAAGATTTGAGCTGTTCAAATCGTTCCTTCAAAGAAACATCTGCTTGATCTAATATTATATTAAAAACGCGTATTTTAAAAAGTTCTTGTGAATCGGTTATTACTTCATCTGGCGTTTCGTACATAAATTCACGCTTTTTTCTTCGAACTCTTTCATTCACAAAAGCGGCATCTACGTCAAGGTTGCCAGCTAGTTCTTTAGCATCTACTAATGCTCTTTCGAACCCAGAAATTCGGTACTCTCGAATGTAATTAACACAAGAATCTAATAGTGTTACAGCAGAGCTTAAGTCCATATTAGCGGATTGCATACTTTTGCTCACAATATTCATTCGATGTAAAATGTCGTACCAAATTACGAGCGTGACTATGAACCCGAAGTTACATATTTGTGTTGCTAATGTCTGGGCCTCATGCCTAATAGCAGCATCCGATGAACCATTTTCGCTGAGTGTTATGAGAGCATCGTGGATCTCAATTATTTGGAAACGAAAAGGTTTTAAAGAATTAATTCTACTCTCCCAGCGAGTAGTATATAAGGGTTTCACCATTAAAAATGGCACACTATCTGTAAGAATTTTCCATCTTCCTACAGAGGCGGAAAATAAAATATAGACCCATTGTATTATTCCAAAAAATGTCATACACTCGGTGCACGAACTAGCGCTGTCGCTTAAAACGAGATTTATACTATGGCATCCACAAGGCATAAAAAAAGCTCGTGGATTTTCTTGAAGCATACGAGTTTGAACCCCTTTATTTTTGCCTTTCATATTTGAGCCCCCATTGTCATATCCTTGTCCTTTACAATTTGTAATATCCAAATTATTTTCTTGTAAAATTTGTTTTGTAATTTTATATAAAGATTACCCGGTGGTCTTCAATCGGTACATAAGTAATGAAATGCTCCTTAATTGATATTTCTTTCGAAGACACATCAACAAATCGCAAAGTAAATGACAGTTCGATGTGACTTATGTCTGGGGTGCAATCTAAAATTATACTATAATATTTGGCCTGTATGGCACGCTCTAATATAAGTGATCTGATTGAAGAAGCTAATAAAGAAATTAATTCATTTTGAACTTTATAGCTGCAATAGTGGACATGAGTTTCTCTAGATACAATGCGCCTCAAATGTTCGTGAAGAGTCATATCATACTTCTTAAGTAATTCCACTAATCCTAACAAATTTCCGTTATTTGGTGTATACAATTTGTCGGAAGAGCCACGCAATGCTAAATTATTTCTCGTAATATAAAGAATGATATTACATAAGCGATCTAAAACAGTCTGCCAGTGATCGCGCTCCTGTCTAATAGCCTTCTGTAAATTTTCATCTATGCTGCTATGCGTGTATAATCTTTGACTTAGTTCGACCCAATTAATAAAATATTTTAAATGTTCTGGGGAATTTTCATGCGATTTTAAATTTTCGTAAATGTGCTTCCAATCATTATTTCCCGTAGTCGCCAAGGAAGGTCTATTCGTTGTATTAAATAGTTTGCAAGATATGCAAAATACTCTATCTGCATTTTTTGAATAGTACATCCATGATCTGAAAAATGATTTTTTATTATGCATATTCCTATAAAATAGATCAGCTGAAAAATGGCGCTTCTCAGAATTTAAAAGATATTTATATTCTTTGTCTACTTCAGCTGTAAGTCCCATACCAACGATATGATCTCGGATATTTGTAGATATAAAAGGAGGCCATGATTCAAGATTTTTATAATCAAATTTCAAGTTTTGATTATTTGCAATTAATAAATCATTGCCTTCTTCATTATCAAGCTCTATATTTACTTCTTTAACAGGTGATGTTTGCTCCGACTGTTGCTCACCTTTCTGAATGAAAATAATATCATTTTCGGAAGAATTAGGGAAAATAGTTGCAGTATCTAAAATATTTTCATCATTTTCCGCTAGATTTTGTGAAGTTAAAGCTTGAATTTCTGTATGCAGAAATTCTGCCAAAAATTTTGCACAAGTTTTATTGCTTTTGTTGCGTATTTTATTTCTTTTCCGATTAGCTGCGCCAGATAATTTTTTAGGCGGCATTGTCGAAAAAAAGGAAATAGGTATATATTAATAGATATATATAAATGAATAAATCTATTTTGCGGCTGCTCATATATGTCCCAGCAGACGCGTTTTCTCTTTTGGGAGGCGCGAGGTTCGCTGCGTTACGCTAGTTATGTGGCAGAACTATACTCTGTATTCTGTTCAACGAGAGAAAGGCCCACGCATAGGAGAAGCATAGCGGGCAAAGTGGGGAGAGCATCACCCGCTGTGGAGTAGAGGGGCTTTTTAAGCGTGAGGAGAGTCTCTCGGGTAACGCAACGCTCTCCCCACTTTGCCTGCTATGCTTCTCCTACACGCACTATCAGCTTTTCTCTCGTTGGACAGAGTATACATCAGCGCGTGGAAAGAAAAGGACCTAAGCTCAGGCATGCAGTTCGGCTGCACTTACGAAGAAGCGCAAGCCGCATACGTGCAAAAACCCATCTGTGGACATAGATCTCTTCTCGGCGCCCCCCATGCCCTGGCGCCCCGGGCGGTTGCCCAGGTCGCCCACCCCACAGGCTGCCCCTGCCGGGCAGAACCCCCTATGCCCTCGGAGGGAAAGTGCTACCGGGTATTTCTTCAGGCGGCACACTACATCCCCTAAAGAGCCGTTTGAGCCATGTTTAGTCTCCCACAAACATTCACCCCTCAGCACGGAACCTAACGTCTTGAGTTGGGAGTTCCTTATACATCGTAACGCACAAAGGTGCAATCCTGTCGGTCCGCGGGAGGTATTTTATTTCTATCCTACCTTTCACAGAAAACTGTGACGAGTATTCCCCAATCCGCCACCTGGGGACGCGCCCGATGGGGGTTACAGGTGTCCCCACACGGGATCTTTTTAAAATACATTTTAATTAATATATTATACATATATTATACATATATTATACAAATATATTATACATATATTTTCAAAAAATAAAATATTCACGATTTTATTAGGAGTACAAATAAGTTTTAAAGTATTTTTTTGAAAATTCAAGATTTTTTTGCAGAAATTCAATAACACATTTAAGTATCAAAATATTCTCCGTTATTATCTATGACCTTGCGCCATCTTTCGGGCAGCTTACGAATTCCGGCAGTGAAGAAAGTTTCGTCTTTTGATTTAATAAAGTCGTCAACCCATTTTCGCACTTCTTCAATATTCCAGAAGTGTACCTCAAGGCGTTTTGCATTGACCAGAACAAGTGATAATCACTTGGCGCTATATCTGGCGAATAGGCCGGGTGCGGTAGAACATCCCAACCAAACGTCAATAATATTTCTTTGGCCGGTTTAGCGACATGAGGCCTAATGTTGTCATGAAGCAATTTTACCGGACGCAATCCTTTGCCAGTATATTGACGTTTTCGACGGATTTCTTCGTTCAATCTCAATAGTTGTCGACTATAGCGATCACCATTAACCGTTTCACGTGGTTGCAGAAGCTCATAATATAGCACGCCCTGCATATCCCACCATATACAGAGCATTACCTTTTGGTCGTGGATATTCCGCTTTGGCGTTGATGTGGATGGTTGGCCATCTACTTATGATTTTTTTTGCTTGGGATTATCGTAATATATCCACTTTTCATTACTCGTTACGATTTTCCACAGAAAAGACTTTCTGTGCTGTTTTTTGTACAGATTCAGACACATTTCGACACGGTTATCTTTGTTCTTCTGGCTCAATTCATGTGGTACCCACTTTCCCTCTTTCTGAATCGTTGTCTTTCGTAAACGGTTGGAAACGGTTTGTTGCTTTACTCTCAGTTGTAATGCAAGCTCTTTTTGCGTTTGGGACAAGTAATGTTTGCAATTCATCGTCCTCAGTCTTGAGAGGGGCTCCGCTACGTTCACGATCGCTAACGTCGAAATCACCTTCTTTAAATCGTCTGAAATCATCCAAAATTCACACGTACTTTTGGATACAACATTGTCTCCAAGAGTCGAACAAATTGATGCACATGCTTTTGCGGCGCTCTTTCCTTGATGCCCTAATTACACCGAAGGATGATCCTGCTTGTGGCTCATCTGACCACTTTCGCCTTCAGTATGATTTTCGGTTCGTCTACATTACTTGCTCGGATGAGCCACAAGCAGGATTATCCTTCGGTATAGTTAGGGCATGATGGAATTCATAGCGAATGCAGTGCCGAATAAATTGTTTCTCGTTTGCTATTTTCAAACTGTTGCAATTTTAGGTTACACAAACAATATCGTGAAGTTGGTTGTTATTTTTTATGTTACCATATAAACACTATAAAATTGGAAAAGAGCGGGAGAATATTTAAATTTTGAATTACTTTCTTATGTTCTACAAAAAACGCTTTAAAACTTATTTGTACCCCAATACATAAGATTATATTGAAAAGCACGTCTTATTTTTTTTACAGATGTAAACCATTTCTATCTTCATATAATTCTAAATTTATTATACATTACAACTGGATAAAGGGAAGATGTAAAATAAGTAAAATATATGAAATAGAACAGAAAAGATTTATAGAACATATAACGAGTAATAAATGCCTACAAATGACTAAAAATACAATTTGGTTTTGTGAAAATAGGAATCTTCTTGCTTTTAATCGCGAAAAGAACGGTACTATTAAAAAGGATAAAATGATCGTGGGAATTAACGACGCTTTTATTACATCTATTGCTCATTGCAATGATTATACTATAAGTGGCGACGTGTGAGTATTTATAAACTGTTTTATTTTTTTTTTAATTTTTGGCAAAAATTCTTGCAGATTTAGTATTATTAAACACTGGAGAATTGAATCAGAGAAGGATAAAAGAATTGAATCAAAGAATAATAAAAGAATTTATCTTAAACAATCAAAAATATATCAAATAGATGATACAATTGATCTCATAATACTTTTTTTTATTTTTGGCAAAAATTCTTGCAGATTTGGTATTATTAAACACTGGAGAATTGAATCAGAGAAGGATAAAAAAATTGAATCAAAGAATAATAAAAGAATTTATCTTAAACAATCAAAAATATATCAAATAGATGATACAATTGATTTCATAAACGCAACATCGCAACACATTATAATTAGTTCTAATAATTCAATAAAGGTAAGATTAAAGAAAAATTGCAATTATGATATGTTAATATAGTATGTAAAAAGTTTGTTTTTTCGTAGATACTGAAATATACTGATGATAAAGAGGGTTGTACGGAAGAAAACAAAATATTTTGTGAAAATGACAAATCTTATGTGCAATCAATCTCATTTGACCCTATAGGAACAAAATTTGCTGCTAGTTCCACTGATTATTGTCAATTTTCATCGTTTCTAATTTACGACATTGATAAAAGGTAAGTTATGTTTCAAATTAATTAATCCGTTTCTACAAATGTTCGATTAAACATTAACTATGTTTATACAGACACTATTATATGATCCGATTTAATAACATTTCTAATTATAACTTACAAGGACGGTCTAATAACCCGAAAATTCTAAAAAATCTGAAATTGCAAAAATATAATATATAAATGTAGGAGTATAAAGCTCCTTAATTTTTCGATGCTCCTTAATTTTTCGACGCCTACATAAACCTAATCAAAAAACTATTTCTTGTTTTAGCAGTAAATGATTCTAGAGGTGGAAATACCCTTCGGAAAATCAGATTTTCTTTTAAGAGTGTTTCCATCCCTAGAATCAGTTTTTAGTCAAAACAAAAAAATAGCTTTTTGATTAGATTCATATGTATTATATTTCGGGAATTGCGGGAAATTCAAAGTACGTAAAAAGGATGCAAGGATTAATAAAATTAATTAGACTGGAATCATTTATTTCCCCTTTTTTATATTTCCTCGATTCGCAGCCTTCCACAAAACAATATAACATCATTGTTATACAGGGTGACCCATTTTAATCGATCATCCCAAATATTTCCGTTCCCTTGCATTTTACAAGAAAATGTTTTAGACAAATGTTGTATGGTTTCAAGGGGGCCATAAAATGATTTCATTAGTTTGACCTTGGATAGTCGTTTAAAGGTCACACAAAGGTCACCTTCAATTTCTTAAATTGAAACCTCCATTTTTCATTGCATATTCTTATAGTTTATTTTGAGAGCTTTCCAAAACACTATAATAAAGTTATTTTTCATTAAGTATTTGTTGCGTTATGAGGTTTAAAGTTACGATACTGCCTTTATCATATACTGCCTGGCATTAGCGTTATCCGAGATAGTCTGCGAGCGGATAGTCTGCCATATCATAGACCTTCTTAAAAAAACTTTCTACGTATTGAGAAAAATGCTATGGTCAAGAGAAATCAGACGTGGTTTGACTTAAAGAATATTTTTCCAAATTACTAGTCGAGTCTTTTTGTGTGACCAAACATTTTTAGAGGTCATATTGATTTTTCTTGATACCATAGCATTTTTCTCAATACGTAGAAAGTTTTTTTAAGAAGGTCTGTGATATGGCAGACTATCCGCCACATAAATTTGTTGATATGATACGTATTATAGGTGAGACTAGAGGCAATTATAAAGCTGCGGAAAGATTATATGCTGAGAGATTTCCTGATAGACAACATCCAACGCGAGTGACAATAAAACTTGTGGTTCATAGAGCTGAAAGAGGTGATTTAAAGAGAAAACGTCAAAAGACTGGAGCTGACGAAGTGAAAACGCTGGTAACTGTTGCTGCTATCCATATGGATCCGCATACTTCCACGAGAAAAATTCAACATTAACATGGTGTACCACAATCAACTGCAAATCGCATTTTGCGAAATTATAAATTACATCCGTATCATATTACTTTGACTAGAGCATTGAAAAACGAGGATTTTATCCGTCGTATAAGATTTTGTAATTGGGCTGAAAATCAAATAACGAGATCCGTTATTCTTTCGTTATATGCTTTTTTCTGATGAAGCCACATTTAGTAAGAGTGGAGGCGTCAACAGACATAACTGCCATTATTATTCTGAAGGAAATCCACATTGGCAACGGAATGAAGAATTACAATGGCAATGGTCTATTAATGTGTGGTTATTAATGTCTGATATAGTAGGAGATTATGTTATTGGTCCATATTTCTTTCGACAAACCTTAATGCGCAAAGTTATTTATTTTTTTTACAAAATCAGTTATCGATTCTTTTAGAGAATGTTGATCTTCAGACACGTAATCAAATATGGTTTGTGCAAGACGGAGCGCCCGCTCACAGAGCACGTGACGTCAGGGACTATTTAAATAATGTATTCGGAAGACAATGGATTGGTTTAGGTAGTCAAACTCAGGAGTAGCCTCCTAGATCTCCGGATCTGACGTCATTGGATTTTTTTCTCTGAGGATATGTTAAAGAAAAAGTGTACGAGACTGAGCCGACGACTATTGAAAATATGCAACAACGTATTCGTAACGTGTTCAGAAGCATAACACCAACTGTTCTTAATAGAGTGCGTAACAATTTTCATAAAAGATTGCGTTTATGTATCCAACAAGGTGGACGTGTTTTCGAACACCTTCAATAAAATACTTAATTATTTTTAAATACGCGCGCGCGCACACACACACACACACACACAAGAGATGTAAATCTGACCGTGCAACCTCCACGTGGTACATCTCGGATAACGCTAATGCCAGCAGTATCGTAACTTTTAAACCTCATAACGCGACAAATACTTAATGGAAAATAACTTTATTATAGTGTTTTGGAAAGCTCTCAAAATAAGCTATAAGAATATGTAATGAAAAATGGAGGTTTTAATTTAAGAAATTGAAGGTGACCTTCGTGTGACCTTTAAACGACTATCCAAGGTCAAATCAATGAAATCATTTTATGGCCCCCTTAAAACCATACAACATTTGTCTGAAACATTTTCTTGTAAAATGCAAGAGAACGGAAATATTTGGGGTGATAGATTAAAATGGGTCACCCTGTATATTTAAATTATTGTCAAAGATTCAAGCCAATATCATGCACTAAACACCACGCACTTTTGATACGCATAGACGTCTATAGACGTCTATTAGATGTCTATTAGACATTTTTTCGACCTGGTGTTCTTTCTGGGTATAGAATGGATTAGTTATTCCCGGCCCCGTTGCCATACGATGTCGCCACAGATCTTGACTATCAATGTGAAGTTGGCTCTAGCCAGTGTTCCGATTAGGGACCGGTTGTATGCGCATGTGCAGCTCTGCGCATGTGCGGTAATGGAGATCCAGTGCCGTTATATGTTGTGTGTTGACCGTATGGTGGAACGTTTTGACATGAGGAGGTTAGGTGACTACAAATAAGATAAGATTTATTTATTTATAAGCATGGAATCTACGGAGCCAGCAGCTAAAAAACCAAGAAGTAGAAAATTTCAATCAATTAAAAAAATTTTGAAATATTTTAAATGTAGGGGGTAACGGTGCCTTGTTTAACTTGTATGAGACACTGTACTGACGCCGTATTGCCACACATGCGCATACAACCGGTCCCTAATCGGAACACTCGCTCTAGCGGTTTATATCTTAATAGTCAAAGGACAATACTCTATTCAGTGAGAGAAAGACTTATGATCTGCGCATAGGAGAAGCATTGCGGTGGGGGGAGCGTTGCGCCACCCGCTGGCATTGGTAAGCTGCACGAGCAGTACAATCATGTGGAGTGGGGGACTTTCTAAGCACCCCGTGAGGGGAGACCTGCGCGAAACGGACAAGTTTTCGTCTTATCCACATATATGTAATATCCTATATTGCTGATTGAACTCGAGAGTTTAGGAAAACATTACGGTGCGGATGATATTCATCTCTCATTTTAGAGTAGACTATCTGTGCGCAAGCGTTGTGCCTATACATGTTATATATTACTTTTTGTACTATAGCCAGAGGCTCTTGAAACACAATATCAATTCTCTGTAGTTAATATAAAGTTTATTGTGAAAAGACAATACGGAAGGATTCTTATCGTTTACAGTCTTAACTGAACAGAAGAAGCGCATTTTCGTTAGTCACGCAACAGTAGCGCACGCACTCTACAGACACTGGCGCCAAACATAAAACAATTATTCTCTACAATACATATATTCTCTGCGCAAGCTACAGATGTCGCGCATGTGCAGAACGGTCAAATCGTCTGCTATCTGTCTCACTTCATTGGCACACACACTGCCTATGGAAAGTAAGCGGAGCTAGCAATATAAGAATATTACATATATGCCTATCCATGGGTCTTTCTCTCGCTCGACAGAATATAGGTTTTTATGTATATTTGGAATAAAATATACAACATACTAATGTAAAGGTTTTAGTTATCAGGTAATAGATAAAAAATGTGATGATTATTGTTGCCAACTACTATGGGAGGATCCTCACACTATTCTCATGTGTTTTCAGTGTTCTATTAAAAAAATAGATTTAAGGTAATAAATCTTATTGTTAATACTAATTAGAGCCGTTTCTACCAACTTTACCTAATCGACAGTTTAGCAAACCCTCAGTTAAACCTGAACTTGAACCTGAGTTTAAACGAAAGGTAATGATTAGTTTCTACCACGATTACATCGAGAACGATTAACTAAACCTATACTATATGTCTCATAACGCTAAAATTATTTGAAGACAGAACGCTGATTGGTCTAATATTAGAGACTCCAGAACTAGGTTTCTAGTCTAACAATGATTCTGATCTCTAATTGAAAATATAAACTATTGATATTATTGACTATAAATTGACTTCTATTATTGACTATTATTGAGTTCTTAAATCACGTTGCTGGAAACGATCCAGTTTAAGTTATTTTGTACATATAAAATAATATTTTAACTTTAATGAGTAATATGAGTAATAAACGTAAACGAGTGTTAAATTTTTCAACAGCAGAAAAAAGTATTTTCATTGATTTAATTTTCAAATAAAAAAATGTGATAGAAAACAAGAAGTCTGACATAGTAACTTCAAAAGACAAAGAAAAATATTGGAAAATAATAGAAAATTTGTTTAATGTAGTATGTCCTTGACCGAATTTAGAACATCAAAGAGTTTAAAAAATTGCTGGGACAATTAAGTATCGAGATCGACCGTTTAACTTAAACTCGGTTTACAGATATTTAAACGCCGTTAAATAATTGGTAGAAACCAATATTCAGGTTAAGTTAAGATAACTGAATGTCACTAGGGTTTAATTTCTTAAACCACGTTGGTTGAAACGGCCCTTAGCCATTCAATTTATTTATATTCGCTACTGTGATTTCAGAACATCTGAATTTGTACGTACATGGGATTCTTTCAATTATGCCCCATTAACGTGTTGCTCATCAGATAATCTGTACACTTTTGTGACGGGGAGTTATACGGGAGTTCTATGGGATCAGAGACAGAGTGTTGCCATTCAAGTTTGTATTTTTTTTTTCAAATTTTTTGTATTTTGTACTTTATTAGTAAATTGTTATTAATTGTTTTAAAAATGTTTAGACGTATACTGTGGAACATGGTATAACATTGTATAACAAAGGAATAGATTCTCTAGAATTTGATAATGCTCATATGTATACTGCTACATGCAATGGTCTTTATGAATTAGACTTTACGGGAAAAAACTCTTTTAGTGATGAGGGCACGGGTTCGGAATCTGCCGAGGAGTTGGATTAGGCCGGGAATCCGGAAAATAATTTTATATCCTTCAAATAAAACATCCTTCAAATAAAACATAGTTTCTATATGTATATTTCTTAGTTGCTTGATTTTTACAAGTTTCTCTTTTTAACAATTAATTAAGTTCCGTTTCAGGAATCTTTATCTTAGCTTAGTTTTCACGGAGCTTTAGGTTACACTTATTCTTTAGTTATTTATTATGATCCGCGAACTTCTTGATTCGTTGTCCCGACGGACATACGTCCCTTCCGTTTGATTGTTAGTTTTTGACCCGCCGTCGGAGTCTCGCGACGGTGATTTTAAAATCGCGAAACTGTAATTGATTGCAGTTTTGAAGGTCTTTCGATCGAACGTGCTGACGGATTTCTGGTAGAAAGGAAGTTCGAGACTAACAAACAAAGTACAAAAGAGACCGATCCGATACATGCGTCGGAAGACACCCTTATACCCGAAAAACCACCCCCAAAATCACTTAAACGATCTCGCCAAGCTAAGGGTGTCTTTCGACGCATGTATCGGATCGGTCTCTTTTGCATGTCGTGTGAGGGTCTCGGAACTTTCTCCGTGCAAAAGGACAAGAGCGACAAATCATTTTTTTAAAATCGCTCCAGGAATGTTCCAAACTTCAACCAGCTCGGGAAATTGCATTTTTCATGGTCTTTTTTAATTTTTCCGTGCTTTGCCCGCTGTCTAGAGGAAAACAAACTTTACCACGTGATTCTACGGTATGAAATCTATAAGAAACTATTTGTAATTTTGGTTCCACACCATTGGCCAAAATCGACCTATATTTAACATCCTCCTTTGTTGTGGGTCCAGAGAACCACAACCAATTTTTAATTAATAAAATAGTAATAAAATATACAGGGTGTCTCAAAATTTTGACAAAGCGCTCGTGTCTGAGTAGAGCGGACTAAACTGAGTCGAAAGTCCTGTATCATTTTGCAATTTTCGCAACAGTTAACGAGTTATTAATTACTAAATATCGCCGAATAAGCGCGTATCCGTTCAGCCTACCGCCGCATGCAAACGCGCGGAGGAGTAAAGGGGAAAGGGTAGGAGAGGGAGGCATTGGTTGCGTTCAGCAGAAAAAGCAGCTTTACAACTATTGCACGATTTTCGGTTGAACGCCATCCATCACTACGCTTTTCTAACATGTTTACTCAGCGGTCGCCATTTTTTCTAGCATAGTAAAAGTATGCCGATTAAGCGTAATGTTGGAAATTTTCAGTTTATTCAAAAAGTGAAAAGTTTCAAAGTAGCTGATACTTTTTATACATTTGTATCTTAAAGAAAAAATTCTTAGTTTGCTTGAACAAATTGCGTGTTTTCCACTCCTTACAGAATGTTAAGTAATCTCTACTAGGATTTGCTATAAAACAAATATATTAAAATAAATCATTAAAAATAAGCTACAAAGCCAGAGCTAGATTATCATGCTCAATTTATTAATTATTATTTAGTTAATTAATATACGTTTCGACCATTGGATGTGGTCATCTTCAGTACATGGTAATCTATTACAAAATTTCAGTTTTGACGACACAACAAAAAATAATATATTTGTAAAATATGGACATCTTACTCCTTCCTTGTAATCTGGAGGTTTACTATTTTGATATCGAGTATGACATTGAAGTAACGACTTTCAACGATCGGTTAAAAAAGAATTTTAAAATGTAACAATTTTAATTGATGTTTTACTGTTTTATGTTCCTAGAAGACTGCGCTTAATAATGTTATTTTAACAACTGTATTTTTTAAGAAAATGTTAATTGTATGTTAAATGTTAATAATATGTACTGAAGATGACCACATCCAATGGTCGAAACGTATATTAATTAACTGAATAATAATTAATAAATTGAGCATGATAATCTAGCTCTGGCTCTGTAGCTTATTTTTAATGATTTATTTTAATAATTCGAACCAATAAAATTGTAATATTTTAATTATACAAATATATTACTCATCATTCTATAATTTTATTATGAAGTAAAGATAACATATATTTTTCCCTCTAATTTTAATTATTTTACTGCAATATAGTTTCATATAAACATGCAGATATAATAATATTTTAATACTATACTTATTTTTCTCACATAAATAGGTTAGGGTTATAAGTCACGCCACAAAACATACATTTGCGCCAGCGCATATAAAAAAAGTGCGTTTATCAGAAGTCGTACGCTGTTGACAGCACAGCGGAAAGTGCTTACTAAGCTGCTTTTTCTGCTGAACGCAGCCAATATCAGGTGATTTCTTACACGGTGGCGGTGGCAGTTGCCTATTTCCTACTTTCAACGGTCCCTAGAGCTCAAACGGCTCAATGAATCAAGTTGGGGCAATGAGAACTTTTTATCAGGATCACGTAAACTACAAATTTCCAAAGTTTTAGCCAAATCCACAGAAACATTTTCCATAAGGTTTGTGCGGGGTCCTTTATGCAAACATTCAAAATATAATTAAAAAATTTTTAATTGACTTCTTTTTTTTTTAAATTGCTAAAAAATTTTTCTATTTTTTTGTCGAATATCAAGCGGAACAGACGAATGTCTGTTAGGACAACAAATTAAGAAGATCGCGGATCGTAATAAATCGCTAAAGAATACGTGTAACATGAGGTTCCGAGAAACTAAGCTAAAATAAGGATAATAAACTTGAAGTCTAGGCTTGTAACTTTCAAATAGATATAGTGGTAGGAGGAGCTCAAGCCCAAGTAGATCGTATTTCTTGATATATATTTTTTATTGCACCAATGTTAGAACAAACGTTTCGGCTGATCATTCAACCATCTTCAGTGTTCCTTTTAATCTAAATATTTATACATCTTAGTAATTTTATATATAAAATTGAGGTCAAGATAATAATTTGCTTAAAAAAAAAAATTTTTTTAATAAATAATTAATCTTTTATGTCGCATACCTGTATTTAAAACTATGTAGATTCAATTCACCATTATTAAGATCTATACTGGTGATCACTTATGTGATTGTGAGAAATTGCAGTTGTGGTGTTAATCTCAAGTCACCATGTTCTCAACTGTGAGTTGATGTTACATTTTAAAATTGAAGATCCAAAGGCATGTAATTCTATAGGAAATAAGGGAGAGGAAATCAAAGGAGAAGGGGCAACTTTTCAAAACAAAGTATATAAACAAACCTTTGGTAGCCCTATGGGTTCTCCTTTGTCCCCCATTATCGCAAATATTACTCTTACGGATATAGAAGAAAGGGCTCTCAAAATCTTGGTTTCGAAACCTTTTTTCTTTTACAGATATGTTAGCCAGCAAGGCGAAAAATATTATTTTTCTAACTCTATAGAGTAGGCAATAAGTTGAGAATAGGAATATAAGAATCAGAGAGCAAATCAGTGTCACTTTGTTTGTTTAGACCGTGTAACTGTCTTTTTATGTTTATCATTTCAGAAGTTAGTCTTCTCACATATGATTTTTCATTATCTACAATGCTAACTCCTTCCCAATTTATTTGGTGATTAAATTCTAACCGATGTTGAGAAATAACTGAAGGAGAAGTGCTTTTTTTAATGTCATTTTTATGCTCTTTAATCCTAGTTTCCAACCTTCTCTTTGTTTGACCTATGTAAATTGCCTCACAATCCACACAAGAAATCTTGTATACTACACCACAATGTAAAAATTTTTCTAAAATATCCTTGTGTCTCTTTATGAAGTATCTCATATCACATTCCCTAGCATAAGACATTCTAAAACCATGTTTCTTAGTCATGGACCTAAATTTCTCAGATATGCCTCTAACATATGGAATAGTAAAAAACTTATTTCTACGATCCTCTGACACTCCACTCTCTCCACCTTGTATTCTTTTGTTGCCAAAAGAATAATATTTTAATATTTCTTCTATATTATAAAAAATTAATGGAAGAGGGTAATTATTATTCCGTAGGATATTAATAATGTTATTAAGATCTTCTTGAAGAAAGCGTGGATGAGAAAGTCTTATACTTCTATCAACCATTTCAAAGATAATTCCTCTCTTATGTGATATGTGGTGTTGAGAGAGAAAATTTAGGTACCTCCCCGAGAAAGTCTGTTTATGGTACCATTTGATAATAATGTTATCACCTTCTACAATTAATTCTACGTCCAAAAAACTCAAATGTCCCTTGTTAGCTCGTTCACATGTAAATTTAATTCTGTCATGAAACGAATTGAAAATTTCTATTATTTCATTGATAACGTTGTTATGAGCCGCCAAAATTATGTCATCAACATATCTGTAAAAGAAAAGAGGTTTCGAAACCAAGATTTTGAGAGCCCTTTCTTCTATATCCGTAAGAGTAATATTTGCGATAATGGGGGACAAAGGAGAACCCATAGGGCTACCAAAGGTTTGTTTAAATACTTTGTCTTGAAATTTAAAGTACGTAGATTCCAATACGAATTTAATAGCTATAACAAAATATTAAAATAAGGATTCCTGAAACGGGATTAAGTTGATTTGTTAAAAGGGGCACTTGTAAAATCAAGAAACCAATAAATATATGGAAATATATGGTTTGTTTTGTAAGGATGGCGGGCGGCAATTACGTTTTAGGAACACTCTTTATTAAAATAAATACATAAAAATCGGATAGCCTACTGTCGCGACTTAATTTAACGGCGTAAGACTGACTGACTGACTGACTCCTTATGAAACGGGCTATCTCCTTATATACTCCAAATTGTCGGAAGATGAAAGATAAGTCGGCATTAGATAAAAAGATCGACTACATGCGTATCGCGCTGACGCCTTGTTTGTCGGAACGGATCAAAAATAAAAAATAATATTGTACGCGAGTCGGAAATACGTTAGCGGAAGCCTTTGACGGAAAGATCATAACTATCGGCATTTTCTATAGGCTTACAATTCGGCCAGCCTGACCGTTAATCGCCCCGATTAACCGTAGCGCAAAAATAAAAACTGAAAACATAAATAGTATGACGCTAACGCATAATTAAACTCATAAAAAAC